AATTTTAATCTTTATATTTTATACTACTATAATCTTTACTAGCATAAAGATTGTGGTAGACTCCGGCGTTGTTCGTGTGTCAAAGTTGGAGACCGGACGCTTGAACGGTTACGTTTGCACTTTCAACGCTCTTCCTACGACTTCTTCGTTTTTACCGCTTACGGAGAAAGGTATAAATTTCTTACTCACTATAAGTTTTAGTACGTGATTCTGGGCAAGATAATCATGTTAGGATGTTAAAAATTTTTATATTCCGCTGCCTATCCATGCATGGTTACCTTTCAGTGGTATCAGAGCCAACGTACAAAACTATAGTTTTACGTTTGACTTTTAAAATTTTAAAAGTCAAAGTTTTAACTTGGTAATTATTAAAATTCAAAATTGGTAAAATGATTTTATTTAGTCTTGGAATAAGTATTGGACTTAAATAAATCATTGAAAATGAATTTTAAATTTATTTATTTTATTTCTACCCGTAATATATATATATAAATACATATATTTTGATTTTTCAAAATATATATTTATATATATTGTAGAAATAGTAAATATAATTTTATATGGACATAAAACATCATTTTATGATTGATAAAATTATTAAACTTGGAAATATTATTTCTAAGTTGAATAAGGTTGTTGATAAATATATTGTACAAAATAATATTAGTCAGTAATTAAATAAATATATATTTATATATGTACTCGGTATTATTACCGAAATATTATATATATTTATATATTTGTATTTTAATTACATAAATGACTAATACATATTTTGGAAAGTTATATCTCAGTAAGAAAAAGAATGTTTTTCAAAATATTAAATTTTTGCAATTTAATATTTTCGAAATCAATTTAAATGGCTTTTTATAACTTATTGAGATTTAACTAATATATTTTAGAAATAATGATTTATAAATTTTATTTCCAGGTTTATAAATGTTGAAAATAATTACTTGAATTTGAAATTTAATTTTCATGATTTTTGCAAAATTGTTTCAGAATTTTAATGGCCTTTTGAATATAATTTTGCAAAAAAGGGCATTTTGGTCATTTGAAATATTCTGGAATTTTTTTATGCTGGCCGAACATCCAGATTATATAAAATGATTTTATAAAATTTTATTAGATTTATTTGGACATCTAATTTAATTTTATGAGTTTTAGAAAATATTTACTGCCGTAGTATTTTCCTAGAATTGTCTGGGGTGAGCGCGGTTCACCCGGTGTATGTATATCTATATTGCTTGTGTGGATGTATAATATGCATGGTGGATGATTGTGGCTATAGTTTATTTGATTATAATACGGCCTGCGTGTCGTGCCTTATCTCTTAAACTCTTGTTGTAAATCTATTTCTCGCTCTTACCTCAACCGAGGATTCTTTTCTCACGTGGTGGTTTGAAGACGAAAAGAAATGAAGACCGTTTGGAGAAAT